TATGTCACAATGTCATTGGAGGGCCAAATCCGCCCTCATCATTTACCATCATGAATGATCAGATTGATTAATTCTCTGCGAGCAATGGAAGAAAAAATAAAAAAGGAAAACAAGTTGAACAAGAGCACACGAATATAATAATAGAGGAAAGCAAACAGTGATGGAGAGTGAAGCGACTTCTTTACTATTCTCCAACAAATACACAATGCCGTTAAATTATTTTGAAGAGATGAAGGCGAAAGAGAGGAGGGACAAACAGATGGAAGAGAACATAGTGTTGGATATAAATGCAAATGGGATAGCTGATAGGAACACTATTTGGCACTCTGGCTCAGTTTGAAAGGAGTACAAATGCAAATTTGTAGAGTGCAAATACATACAAAATACAAGGTTTTACACTCTACAAATTTGCATTTGCAAAATATCCGACTCATTCTATCACTCAGCTTAATTTCCATAAAGTGACTGTATATTAGAGATTTTACGGGTTTTCTCACCTTTTTCTTCTTTTTACTTAAAAGGATATAATTGAAATTTATTAAAAAAATGAAGATGGATGTACAGATAATTGGCAAATTTACAAAAACAATCAAAATGTAATCAAACCCAGAACATATTCTAACTTCCCTAAAAATAGAGAACTGATTTTTTTTTTTTGTGGGAAAACCCAAAAAATCGGAATAGACTCTGATTTCTCCATATGATTTCCTTATAAATGAACTGATAATGAATCCAAGAGAAATAACTGATTTTTTCGTTTGAAAACAAAGAAAAATCAAAACAGATTCTGATTTCTCCGTATGAGTTCCTTGTAAAAGAAATGATAATGAATCCATTATCTTTCGTTAGAGAAACCCTGCAGTAATATAAAAGTCAGTCAAGTTTTCACCATTCCAATGTTGAAGGTGGTGGGATTTTTTTTCTCTCTAAATTAACTAGACGCATTAAATCTCAAATTTAATGCAGGGTTGTATCAGTCATTTTCATTCTACGGTTTATGGATTAGGTTTAAGTCCAATACCCAAAATGAGAGAATGTTTCTTAAGAAAGAAATATCAAGGGAGGTTCAAATCTTTTACCCAAAAAAAGCTTCAATAGTTTTAACATAGGCAAATATTATAGCTGAAAAGACTCGAGCTCGTAGGGATTGGGTTTGGATTTAACCCAGCCCAATTGCATACAATGCAGCTAAGATGGATCAGGTGCTCTTCTCGTCTATGAAGCTAAGAACAAGGCTTTTAAAATTGAACAGAATGTGGAACCGTTCTGGGGTCCGGTTCCTGGGTTGAAGGATTTGATCTTTCAAATCGAACGGATAACTTGTTTGTTGACCAAATCAATAATTTTTAGCCATAAAAGTGGTTCTAGGCTGAAACGTGACTGATTCCCTATTTTTCTGATCTGGTCCAGTTTTGAAAACATTGGATAAAAATGTTAGGAAGAACGAGTTAATTACCAAGCATTACATGCTTGTCATTTTTTGTTACATCAGGATCCATTTGTTCCGTGAAAGATATAAAGAAATATAACTGAAAGAAATTAGATTAAAAAAGTGAAAACAAATGGGACCTTAATTTCTTAACAAACCAAGCTGAACGTTGTCTATATATATGTGGGGACTAGGCTTAGTTTAAATTAGTTTCTGCAATTTGCATTCTTTTCACGGGAATATTGATCTGAAATAAGAACTGGAATGGTCTATTTCGATGTCAATGGTTTGGTGGGGTGAAATCTGAATTCAATTCCAAGTAGAATAGTTTTCCAATTTTAAAAAATGGCCATTCCCTCTCACTCTGTTGAAAATAAGAATCCATTTCAACTGATCACGATTTCCATCTGAATTAAATAAATAGAAGAATTGACCATTAATTCTGATTCTGATTGCAAACCAAACTCACCTAATACTGAGCACATGTGGGTTTCAACGGACTAATATTTTTCATTATCATCGACATCATTACCCTCCCTCGGTGGAATGATTCGCACCGCTACGTGTGTCATTTATTTCTCATGTACGCTGTATGGGTCAACCATGCAATTCAAGCCCCACCTTTTTATCTAATCATTACAATTATATAAAATCATTGAATAAATTTAATATATTTTCATTTTTTTTTTCTTTGGTAGAGAAAGATTCTCTTGTTTAGTCGATATCTCTGATCAATGGATATTATATTTTTACTTGTTTTTTCGACTAAATTGACAAGATTTATCAGAACCCAGTTCAAATCCACGTTTCAGGTCAAGTCTGAAATTGATTTTCTTAATGGGGTTCAGGGGGACATTTATGAACCGGAGGACTCGACCTACCATCACCCTAAGAAAACAATGACAAGAGTTTTGGGCTAGTTGGAATACAATAAGAAAATACACATTCAAATCAGTTTTGTATTAATTTAAGCTTAGTTTGGAAGGAGTATAGATACAAATAAATAGAGTTTAAAAAATCTTGTATTTTGTATTAATTTTTGTATGTATTTATAGTATATTTGTACTGTTTGAGCCTTACATTTTTTTTTTCCTACTCTTTCTCATTGTTTGGACTCAAATAATTCCGAAATCCCAATAACTACATTATTTTCAAACTTGGTTACGATTGTTAACCGCAAAGAAGGATTGATACAATTTGTGCCATCATCAAGCAAGTAAAATTTATTATTACAATGAATGAACCAATCTCTATCTCCCGAGTCTTTGTTATCTGCAGTTAAGAAACAAATGTAATTGATTAGTAATTAACCACAACTGGCCCAAATTAAAATCAAAATAGAGGAAGACTTTACATGACAATGATAGCTAGATATATCATGGAGCCGTAGTAGCGATAAATGAGGCAGCTAGGTCAGAAGAGATGTTGGTACGGAATATAATTAGTCTTCTTCCTTGTGGGATGAGAGCAAACTCTAGCGGACAACAAAGGCTTCACCTTCAAGGTTGCCATCTACAAATCCGACATGCTCTTCGTCCTTAGACTAAGAGTTGTCTGATTGCACCGGAGGGGCTTAGAAGATGTTGGGCTTAATTGGAGTTGGAGTAGGACTGTAGGAGGATTCATTACAGGCTTGGGATTCTACAGCTTCTCCACTTTCCGCGCAATTTGTTCAGCGTCTAGATGTGCGATGCATTGCAGCCAAGAGTTGTGTCAAGCCTGGTTTAAGTCCCTTGGTGTACTTGGTGACTATGATCCCTTTGGGCTCCTAGAGACTTATTTGTGTTAATAGCCATTGGAACTCAAAGGTATTCATTCATCTACGGTGGCGTAGTAGAGACTGTAACTGGATGAAGAGACTGTGCTGGTAATCCAGCAGTAGGAGTTTTCTTTTAATTTTGACCTTCATGGTTCCCACACCCGAATGTTATGCTTGCCTTGCTGGTGACGCATCTGACCTTCATGATTCTCTTGAAGAAGACATGCACCGACGCGCCATTAAACTCTTCTATACTCTAATCGTCAAGGAGATCTGGGGATAGACGTTGGGGATTGGCAACCTCACCTAGAAACTCTCCTGTCTCGGAGCTCAAGAACCAGGTTAAGTCACCAATCTGTGTTGGTTTTTCTTTCTTCAGGATCCATCCTACATTGAAGGGGGAGTTCCTGTGCATACCTTGAACAGAGCTTTCTTTGGAAGCCATGGAATCTTAGACACTAGATGGTGCTACCGATATTCTGTAATGGAGGAAGTCTCACAGAAAAGGGCAGCAGCAACGATCGATATTGACTCTCAGCTTTTGCAACCCGACAAGGCCCAACAACCTTAATTAACCTGTATGCAAGTAAATGATATTAAGGTTGGAGGCTTTGTGACTCTAGAACGAGACCCTCCAGAGCAAGGTAACGGAGGACTAAAGAAGAGCAGAGAATGAAAAACCCCTTTGGGAGCTTGGTATTCCAAAATATTCAAAGCCGTCTAATACAATATACAAGCAGGCTCATCTTCGCTTATAGAATGCCGAGAGACAAACAATTAATGACCCAAAATATTTAAACAAAAATCATCAGATGGGTTTGAGATAAAAATGGAGACGGGTGGCTCACGGCGTCAGGGAGTGCAATCATATCTGGCGCTAGAGGCCTCAACAAGATATCCCTTGGATGGTCGGTTATGTAGTTGAGTCACTCTACGTGCCGTGGTGATAACTGATGATAACCCTCTTACACAACTTCGTGGATATTATTAATTGGAATGAAAAACATGCATGTTGAATCTAATTAAAGATAGAACGCTTAATTTTAAACCCTTCCCTTATGGAAGAAGACTTGATCCATCATACACAGCATATTTAGAAACAAATTTTAGGATAGCACATGATAAATTAAACAAAACTAAATTTATGGACTACTCATCAAACAGGAAAAAGGCATAAAACACATTAATTTGAGCTTATCTGTCGTTAAATGCATGGGTCCCAAGGGAGTTTTATACTGAAGTTGACTGACTAACCAAATTGGGCATACTTAGAACTGACTTAATTATATATTTGTATCATTATCATCAACATCATCATCCTCATCCTCATCCTCAGTGGAATATGATTCGCACTGTCATTTTTTTCCCATGTACGCTGTATGGATGCAAGCCCTAGCACTACCTTTTATCTTATCATTACAACTACATAAAACAATTGAATAAATTTAGTCATTTTTTTTTTCCTTTTCCTTTGTAGAGAATGGTTCTCTTGTTTAGTAGAGATAATCTCTGATCGATGGCTTATATATTTTTATTTGTTTCTCTGACTAAATTGACAAGATTTACTAGGGGTTCAGGTCAAGCTGGCCTTTCTTAAACCGGTCTGAAATTGATTTTCCTTATTAATTAGGGTTCAAATGGACGCTTATGAACCGGGAGGACTCGACCTACAATCACCCTAAAAAAACAACTACAAGAGTTTCGATCGGCTTCAATTCGTGGAATAGGTACAATAAGAAAATACACATTCAAACCGGTTTTCATTTACTTACGCATTTCTTTTTCTATTCTTTCTCATTGTTTGGTGGACTCAACCAATTCCAAAATCCCAATAACATTATTATTTTCACACTTGGTTACAATTGCTAATCGCAAATTCGCAATGCAGGATTAAGATACAATTGGTGCCATCATCAAGCAAATACGTAGTACAATTAAAATTTATTACAATGAAAAAAACCAATCTCTATCGATCTCCGAAGCCTCTAGCTTTCTTCTCCTCAAATCAAACCAGCTGCAATGGTCGTATCATTGCGTTATCTTCATGATCCAGAATCTGCATGCAATTACAGAAAGAGATAATTCAGTAGTTAGTAATTGACCACATGCAGCTAGCCCAAATTAAAATCAAAATCCATCCAAATGCATATTTCCGAGAAGCAGAGGAAGGCTTACATGACAATGGTAGACATATCCTGGACCCGTAGTAGCGACGAATGGGTAAGGTGAATTGGTGTCCACCAGATTAAACTTGACGACCACCGTCGTTTGGGTTCCCGGAGTCATCTTCACCACGTTCTTCCATGTCATCTCATTCGCCGGTACGGCGCCCGCTTGCGGTGGCGATAGGTATGAGGCCACGTTGCAGGCAATTGCATCGTTGTTTTGCGTCATGCAGTTGGTGAATTGAGCCTGGTTTGTAAGTGTTCGAACCTGAATCGCTGTAAACGTTGCCAAATGTATGTGCAACGGGTGATTATCGTTGGTTAAGTTGATCACCTCCCATATCTCAGTACTACCCGACTTGGGTGTCTCTGTAACCGGGTCCTCAAATCTTTTACCGTTTATGTACAGGTGTGTGGACGACCCGGATGGTGTCGTATATTCATACAACACAATGTACCTCGTTGTGGTTGCGGGATCCGTCGTTGATGCCTTGTAGCTCACTAGACTCGCCGGGATCGTAGAGGTGTCGGGTATGGCCGGGCTTCCGGGTGTGATTATGAACTTCATGACCTTCGAGTTCAGGTTATCCACCGGGTTGCCCGTCGGGAATGGGTAGGCTGCATCATTACCCATAACAATCTCGGGGGTGGTAGAAGTGGAGAAGTCAATGACGACGTCAGCGATCTCGGAAGGGGCCATAAGGATCTTTGACATCTGTACGGGTGCAGGTAGATACGAGGAATCGGATCCAACTTGGGTAAAGGAGAGGCCGTTACTTAGAGAGAGCTGGAAGTAACGGGCGTTTGCAGCGTTGATGATTCTGAACCGGTACTTGCGTCTCTGGACCCTCATGAAGGGCCAGGCCTTCCCGTTGACGACGATGGCATGGCCGAAGTATTCTGGTTGCCACTGAGGGTGAATGGACGGGGCAATGCCGGTGAAGTTCATGTAGAGGGAACCGTCCCGGCTGAAGCTCCGGTCAAAGATCATGAGGGTCCGGTCGAACTCTGGACCGGATGGAAGGTTTAGGGAGGCATCCAGGGTTGGGTCACGAATGACATAAGCGCCAACCAAACCGGCCAGCAAATTAACACGTGTCAATCCAATAGCATGGTCATGGTACCAGAGGTTCCCTGAGTGTTGGACATTAGGGTAGGTGTATGTAGATGTGGACCACGAGGACCCGGTCTCTCTAAAACCGGAGGTGAACCAGGCAAGAGCGTGTCCATCATATTGTGATTCATGGACCCCACCGTGCAGATGCACAACTGTTGGGACCCCACCTCTCGTAGCAATGGCGGTGGGGATGGAAGCATCCCAGGGAAGTATGTGGGTTTGGGGAAGATAATTTTGCCACGTCACTGACGTTGGGACTCCTTTGATAGCCTCAATTGTGGGACCGGGTACAGTTGCCGTGAGTTGCGACGTCCCAAATGCGAAGACTGTCGTTGGAGGTAAACTACGATGAAATTTCTGCATGGGAAGAGCAGAGAAACGTCCGTTAATTAGAAGTATTCAGAGAGAGAGAGAGAGAGAGAGAGAGAGAGAGATGAGTACCCATTTCTTCTGATACATGCCAATGGTGAGACTCCCGGGTTTAGGAGAGACGGCTCCATTTGAATGCCCCAAGAGTGTCGGTATCTGAGGGAGTTCATCGACGAACATTCGCAGAGAACCAGCCACCTGAGTTAGAATCGCGTCAGTGAAAGGAGGTGGCGGGGCGGCTCCACTACAAATCGTCACGACGTAAGATATGAGAACGAAGAACAGTTTAGTCGCCATCTTTTCTTCTTGTTAAGTTGTTATCGACTACTTGTCTGATCAAAAGGTAAGCCGAAGTAACGATATAAATAGAAGGGATGACCCAGGTTGGTGACATGTCTTCCTCTGTGTTGTGTGAAGAAGAAAAACAATGACGTAAACAGAAGAACGCGTGGTCCAAACGGAATCAGCCGGCGACGAAGTTTTCGTCGATTAGTTCAAACACTGAAATGTCAGTAACGTTTGTTTAATGTTAATTGCTAGCTAGCAGGGAAAAGAACTGCACCAGGCAATTTGATTCCTTGAGGATCAACGTATAAATTAACGATGCTTGAGATATTTAGCAGGGGTCAAAGAAAATAAAGTAATTAAGGGATCCCACTGAAGAGGAGAAACGACAAACAATTTCGGTAGAAGGAAAAGAGTGTTGATAAGTATCGCTTTCTTTGGTAGATCAGTTAAATGGTTGGTTTGGTGGTTGAAATTATACCTTGACTTTGTGCGCGGTAAGAGGACCCATCGTCACATTAATAAATCTTCTTTCTTGGTAACGACATTAGTATATGAATTTCTATGTAACAAACATTGAAAACGGGTATGGACTACGGAGTTTAGGAGGATTACTGAAGTTTTGATATGCAAGAAACCAGCTTGCAAACGAGGATGGACTATGGAATGGTAAACCCATGTGTCATAATTTTTCAATTGGAGCGTAGTTATACCTACCTATACCCTAATGGGTTATCAGGCCCAGCGGCCTTGGCCCATAATGAGATAAATATTGTTTACCTGGCACTAATAATAAAGGGGCAGAAATATAACTGAAATTTTGTCGATTGAAATTAATTTCTTCAATGTAAACAAGAGCTCAAAGCTCCAATCAAGACTGAAGGAGGCTAAAAAACTAAAACTTGATATTTTTTTTTGCTATAATCTGATGCCAAGGCCACTATAGCTAGACTGGCTGGACCACTATCGAGCATATAGAACGTGGCAAGGTTACTAATTTGTCGAAAGTAATTTCCACATACCCCTTTGAATTTGTTTCGACAAAACTATGTCATAAGAAAAAAACATACGCACTCACAAACAAATTTCAGGAAGTTAAAAAGGGGTAGTGACTAGTGAGAGACAACATAGCTCCAATATTTCAGCCTGGAAAAATAAGTATAAAAAAAAAAAAAAAAATCTGAGCGCAGATATGCTATGCACAGGAGAGACGCTCCATTGTGTTGCTGTAGTGTTTCGTTGATAACACGCGCACAGCACATCCGGACTCTAAACGCAAATACCAAAAAAAAGCCATCTTGGTAATTAGACTTATGATTCAATATCTTTGGTCACCTCGGCAGGTTGGGCCAGCTTGGGTATCTTGGTCACCTTGGATAGCACCGAAGCCTAGGTTCGTGCGACTACTTGCATACTAGCTTTTTCATTACAAGCTTTCAGCTTGCAATACATTCAATACTAACTTAAGCATCGAAGCGATCACACCGGGCTAACCATCCCAGATTCTCTGGTTCCATCTGTCTTGCAATTCGACCGGCCTACTACACAATTGACATCCGAGCTGTCTTCCAGTTAGGAGCAACTAGATCGTACTTCCTCAATTGGCACCGTCCGTGGGAAACGCGACTAAAAGTCCAGTTTTTATTTTCAACTATTCCCAGCAAATCACCAATGGCATCTTCAAGCAACACAGGAAAGAGCGTTGAGATGAAAATCTCTGGGCGGTAGGAACAAACCTTCGCCAGTCCAGAGTTCCCCATAGTCTGCATCGGCCAGTTCAACATCCCCCTTACTATATCGGGGGTGCCAACACTGCAAAGCCAGCAACAATTCCATACCCAGCCGTTGCACGCTCTGTTACCCCAGGTGAGCACCACCACTTCGATCCCAGAGCCCTCAGTGGTTCCTCCTAGGGTCGAGCATCAGCAGTTCGACAACCTGGTCCAAAGTGTTCGGGTCTATGAAGATCTATATGCAACAAATCCACCAATTCCAACAGTATCAACAATACTATTTCTACTAGCAGTATCAGTAGTAGTTTCCACCACTGCAAAACCAGAACGTTCTGCAGAACCAAAGCTAGAACTAGAAGTAGAATGTGCATCGATTTCCCCCTCGGGGCATGGGGATATCTCAGATTCTCGGGTCCCAGTTCCTCCTCAGGGTTGGACCCCACCTCAGGACCGGCCAGCGGGTCAGTGCACACCCCCACCCTTTCAAGTAGACAACCAGAAAGATTGGCCCCAAAATAGCCACCACACTAGGACCGATCAGCAGTAACACTCGCGACGTGAAAACCACGATCCCTAGGTAAGTAACCGCCAGCTCGGGGCACAAGGTATGGACTCGCACCGAGACCCCTTGTCCCCCATAGCAGCCAACATCAAGTTCGCGATCGTGAAGACGCGGGTAACAAGAGCCAGCTACCTCCTTGCGACAACATCTGGGAACAAGAGCGCACCAGGGTCGAGATCCCAAACAACACCGAAGTGAACAACACCAACGTTAAGGCCGCGAAGAAGCGACATCACAAAGCACACCGGACATCAGTTAGGAACAGCCTGTCGTTGGCACCGAGCAGGGTGAGGGAGGAAGTGGGCTTCGTAGCTGTACAACCGGCTCCAGTACTATTTAGCCGACCCTCCCCCTTCCACCTGAAATTCTCTCAGCCCCAAGGCCACAAGGGTTTAAGACGCCCACACTGGAGTCCTACGACAGGAAGTTTGATTCCAATGATCATGTTGACGGTTTCCAGTCTCAGATGTTGCTCGCCGGAGCAGATGGAGTGAGCATGTGTGTAGCATTTTCCACAAGATTTAGAGGGTTGGCCATGTTATGGTACAGGAGTTTAGCACTAGGCTTAATCAAGGGCTGGGAGCAGTTCATAGACTTGTTTACTGCTCACTTTATCTCAAGTAGGAAGTGCCTGAAATCTACAACAAGCCTTCTGAACGTGGTCTAGAGAGAAAACAAATTGATCAGGAGCTACATCAAGCAATTCAATGAAGAATATTTGCAAATACCCAACCTCGACCTAGAAGTGTGTCTCACCGCAGCGCAGGAGGGAGCTCGCCATGTTGAATTTTCTTGGCACCTCGGTGTGAACCCACCAAAGACAATGGAGAAGTTCCTTGACGATGCTGACAAGTTTATGCGATCAGAAGAGGCTCTCGGGTCCAAGGCAGAGCTCCAACAAGGAGAGAAGAGAAAAAGAGATGATGAAGGCACCAGTAGTAGTAAACACCGGCGACAAAAAAGCACGTCGCCGAAGAGAAGTCCCCAGAAAAGAGAAGCAAGCCACTATCTCGGGGTTCTAGGTCAGGTCGACAATCTAGAACCCCTCCAGTCCAGAAGACTGCCGAGCTAGTCTGGGTGCACATTGGAGAGTGGACTATGAGTCGCTCCCAAAGACTAAGGGCTAAGGTGCCAAGCTGATAAAAGACCTCAGCGCTAAATAAGACCCATCCGCCTCTTTGGCATAGGCAACATAAGACCTAGTCACCTCCTCGGCATGGTCAACATCAGACCCAGTCGCCTCTTCGGCATGGGCAGCCTTATTGGTGCGCAGATAGGTCGAGCATATACCCTACAGTGTCTACCCACCTTGGCATACATTGACTTCGGATTATTCCTAACTATGCCTAGCTCGCCAGCTCAATTCCTCGGGGTAATCTACACTTAGAAATTTGTGTCATTATACACAAAGTGGCAAAAGAAAAGTACTTCATTACTTCATTGTAAGACGAGCTAAATCGACTTAACTTCGTTGTGACCTCCCCGCACCAGTTCAGGACCCCTAGCACGGGTATCTCGGGATGATCAATCCCGTCGATTTGACATGTAACAGATCTCTAGAAGCTTGCTAGCTGTCTTCGAGCCCTTCGGGATCACACCGTGCAACTGTAGGCCTTATCCCCTTCCCGCCCGAATTGGATGGACACGATAGGCCTTATCAGCTAGCACGCTATCCACCTTTCGGAGCGGGGTAGAATCCTACGTCTCGGCCGACGATCTCGGGAATGTTTCGTGAGACACATGGCAACTCAGCTATATAAGGGCATCAACCCCTGAGACTCAGGTATGCGCGAGTACTTGCATACTAGCTCATTACAAGATTTCAGCTCACAATACATCGAGTACTAACTTAAGCATCGGAGTGACCACACCAATCTAGCCACCCTGGGTTCTTTGATTCCATCTGTCTTGTAGTTCGACCGGCCTACTATGCAATCGACATTCGAGCTGCCTTCTAGCTAGGAGCAACCAGATTGCGCTCTATCAGCAACCATATATAAAGTCATTCTAAAGACCTAGTCCAGATTTGATCCAACCCTAAGGTTCCATTAGGTTGCGTTTGGAAATGGTTCAAATACGTGTGAATGCAAATATGTAAAGTGTAAAATGATTCATATAAATTGCAAAATTGGGTTAGTTTTGCATTGACAAATTTACACTCTTACCAAATAGACTTTTAGCTATAACAGATGCAAACACAAATTCCAATAAAGCATATGCTTTTTTTTTATCAAAATCCCACTTAAAAGCAAATTTACTTCTTTTTTATTGATGTACTTTTACATCTTATTATTAATGTAAATATGCATTGGTCTGTCATTTGTCAATGCAAAAATGTAATGTTGCCAAACATAGGCAAAAGTGAACCAGAGTGCAAATTTACCCTAAACTGGGATTTACACTCCATTTGCATCATTTCCAAACACAGCCTTAGGTTGTAGTGCCCATTTCATTTGCAATGGTGTAGTTGCGAATGAGCTCATTGGAAATCCTGGTTTAATTCTGCTTTTGATGTGTCCTTGTTGAGTTTATTTATAAGAAATAAAATAGGAAGTAAGATGATGCAGTCTCCAATTTGTTTGAAAAAGAAATAAGACGGGAGAGTTTATTTATTTTGAAGGAATAAGGTGGAAAGCAAATTGATATACCCCAACTTTATATTAGGGGTGAGCATGTGTCCGTTTGGTTCAATTTTAAAGCAAATTTATATGCCCCAGTTTGAGGTTGGTTCCACATAGA